ATGACAGAACATTGTACGTGCCGGTCCACGTCTTCGTATAGCCCCCATATAACGGTACCCCCCGATATTCGGTATTTTGATGATTTTAGCTACATGATTCACCGGAATTCATTCAAATTTGAGATTTGATGTTCATAGTGGATACTACAGCCAAATACAGAAAATTGTCTGTACAGGTCCAGGTCTTCCCAATAAAACGGCTATATTCGTTATTTTTAAAATTTAAATAGAATTTTTTAAGGATTTTATGTTTTGAAATTTTGAATATTCGTTCCAAATGGTGGAGGGTATTCGAAGTTCGGCCCGCCCGAACTTACTGCTTTTTAACTTGTTTTTGGTTCATTTTAGTAATTTTTGTACCATTTTTGGACTGACTGACACTAGTGCAAAATTCTCACCCCCACTGTGCGTCGGTACTTGGCAAAATTTTGTATATTTTTATTTTATTTTATTAAATATTGTTCCTGATTATGTTTGCCGTCGAAATATCGAAAATAATAAATAAATAATATTAAAATACAACAAAGACCCCTAGCTCAATTTAAGTAAACTTAAATTTAAAATAATTTAAAATAAAGGTCGAATAAAATAAATAAAAATCAAAAAGTTAAATTATGTTAGAACTATCTGCTACATTGTCAAATATATAATAATTTTCACCCCCCAATCTCAACCTCAACCAACTAGCAAATTCAACGATTTTTTCAAAAAATCATAATCATGGCATACCACAAAACCATACCAAAGTTTACTGACCACAGAGCGTGGCCAATGGTGCCATTCATTGTCAATGACACTGAGCCGCTGGCATTATTATTGTCTTCGATGTAAGGCCATTGAAGGCCTGTCATTTGTTTTCAATTACATGAAATGAATAAATAATAAGTAGCATAAAAATATTCTGCATTGTTTTGTATTCTCTTCTGTTGCTTTTTGTTATTTATTTGCAACAATGCCATACTCCCTCCCTCTTTCCTCTTTCACTCCTTTGATATTTATTACCACGGTAATGCTGCTACAATTCACACACAAAATCTATAGACAATAAGACCAGTTAAGAACCGAGAATAGTCCTTTTTTTGGTTTATTATTTCTAAATATGTAAGCCCTCCAACTCGTCCTCCCGCCCCCCCTTTCTGCAAAGAAAAAAACAAACTTTGCTCTTAGCTGTTGTGGTCTGATTTCAAGCATAATTTATGAGCTTGATTTTTCGGTTATTATTTGCCAAGCGACTTTGGCTGGCTGGCTGGCTGGCTGGCTGGCTGGCTAACTGCTCGGTTGGTTGGTTGGGTGTCTAACCTACAACAAAAGAAAGTAACTCATATTTCGCTTGGGCGCCTGGCTTCCATTCCAGATTCGTAGATTCCAGTTTTTCTCTCTTCCATTAGAATTCTGTGAATCCTATGAACAATAAACACCCAAATTAATTGCTACAAATTGTGGCATTAACATTCAACAGGGACAATAGCAGCAGCAGGAGCAACAACAACAACGGTTTTTGAAGGTTACTTCAAGGGGATGGCTGCCTAGATATATACACACACCCCCCAAATTAAGAGGGAGCTGGCGGGAGGAAGGAAGTGAAATTCAAATGGGTATTAAATGAAATCCCACCGTAATTCCAACGACAACGTCGGAATCGTGGGGACAATTTAATGCCTCGTGTAATTATTTAAACCAAAGTGGGCGGGTAACAACTAATCTAACTAAAACAATGATAACAATGGCACAAACGCCTCAAGTGGATGGGAGGAGTGCAGAGGGTATCGTTGAAAGCAAGTGTTGTACAAAATTGTGATTTTTGATACAAACGGCGAAAGTTGGCGGCTTTGGGGTTTGGGGGATTTTTATTTTTAGAAAATAGTAATTCAAAAAATTAAAAAAGAAGTCTGTACTATTTATGGGCAACCAACTTCAGATTGCAGTCATTTCTAAGCCACTCGTCCTACAGCTGCTACAATTATTCCAGTGACAGCTCATTATATTATTTACCAGCGTACAAAAGTGTTTTGGTGAGAATTTTCCAGAAAAAAAGTTTTTCGTGATGGAATTCAAGCGTGATAGTGTGATTTCTTTATGTTTGGCTGGAAATCTACAAGGGCCAAAGGTTAGAGCACTCCAGCATTTAAATGTAAATAAATCTTTTGTGTCTCGTGCCATCGCTCGTTACCGTGATGCTGGTAGCGTAGCCCGACTTGAAGGAAGTGGACGGAAGAAAACAAAATGGTTTGAAAAGTAAAGAAGCGACTTGATCGAAAACCGCGTTGCGGTGGCCGAATAATGGCTCGTGAGATGAACATATCGCAATATTCTATTCGGCAAATATTGAAAAAAGGGCTCGGGGTAAAGTCATTGAAATTCCAAAAAGTGCAAGAATATACACCGCAACAGAAATAAAATAGACTCAAAAGAGCTAAAGAGTTGCTTCGCTTGGCCGAAAGTAGTGAACTGCCGAATTTGGTTTTCTCCGATGAGAAAACATTCGTTTTCCAGAAGTTTGTAAACAAAGAAAATGATCGTGTTTAGTTGCCAAAGAGGTCAGTTGAAAATGTGCACCTTCTGTTGGCCACCAGAGCTCAAGCGCCGTCCATGGTGATGGTGTCAGCCGCCATAACAGCCGATTGTCGCTCTCCGATCTTATTAATCGGCCGTGGCATCAGAATAAATGCAGAATATTATCGCGAAAATATTCTGGTGGGTGTATTAAGGCCTTGGGCACGCTAATATTTTGGCCACAGACATTGGACATTCCAACAGGAGTCAGCAACATCGGTTACAATGGTTACAAAACGAGGGTCCTCGTCTCATTTCCAGCGCCCAATGTCCACCAAAATCTCCGGATACCAATCCGTCGGACTATTATATCTGTAGTATTTTGGAAAGCAAGGTTGGCACTAAAAAATACCAAAGTGTCCATCACCTCAAGCAAGCGCTTCGCCGGGAATGGGCCAAAATACCGCAGAGCAACATTCGGGTAGCGTGACCGTTTGAAGGCCATAATTCGTGCCAAACTTATTCTAAAATTTGATGCTATTTCCGACATTTTTTGCTTTTTATACCCTACACCACAAGGTGGTCAGGGTATTATCTCTTTGTGCATTTGTTTGTAACAGACAAAAGGAAACAAGATAGATCCATAGTTCCTTTTGATGATCTGCATAGAATCACATTCTGAGTCGATTTATGCATGTCCTTCCGTCCGTCTGTCCATGTATTTTTGTAAACAAAGTACAGGTCGCATTTAGTGCCCGATCCAGATGAAATTTTGCACAGAACATTTGTTTGGCCCAAGGACGAACCCTATTGAAATTGGAGATAATCGGTAAAAATTCTAAATTCTAATATTTGCCCAAATTGGATGGAATTTGGCACTTACGACCGAATTGAGTCTAGAAGCTAGTCTGTCAAATTTGGTGAAGATCGGTTCAGATATAGCTAAAGCTCCCATATATATTGTTCATCCGATTTGTTACATTTTTTACCCATAACCGTAATATGTACTCCGTAACAACGATATTCAGGGAAATAAATCAAATACAGCTCAGAAATATCATTGTCAAATTTTTAATAAAATATAAAAATAATGGCGTTTGACTTTGTTGCAGTTTTTTTATCTCACATTTTGGAAATGTGTACTATAATTGTCCTAAAAGTACTAAATAGTACTATATTTGGTATTGGGTGAATTTGATATAAATGTCTCTGTTGGTGTCGATGATTAGGATATGGAACGGTTTTGCAAATGAGTACTAAAACTATACTAAAAGTGCTAAGTGGTACTAAATATGGTATTGGGTAGGGAAATAGAGCTAAAATCATTTAATTGACATTGAGGTTTCCGTTGATATCTGGAATTTATTTGCCCGAATTTGGTTTGGAATTGAGATATGGAGGTGTACGAAAAGTACTAAATTTGGTATTGGGTTAAGGGAAATCCCGAATTTTGATATAGATGTCACTGTTGGTGTCTGTGGTTAATAAAAAAACTGGTTTTGGAAATGCGCATTTTAATCTGGAAGACCTGCGGAAGGTCTTCTATACCTAGAAAACCTGTAGAATGTCTTCTATACCTAGAAGACCTGTAGAAGGTCTTCTCTCACTAGAAGACCTGTAGAAGGTCTTCTCTCCCTAGAAGGCCATTAAAAGATCTTATATCCCATGAAAACCGTTAGAAGGTCTTCTATCCATAATAAATGGTACTAAATTCGGTAATGGGGGAAATTATAGAGCTGAAATCCTGAATTTCTGTATGGATGTCACTGTTCATGTCTGTGGCTAACATATGAAAGTGGTTTTTCGAAATATTTACTATAATAGTACCAAAAGTACTGAATGGTACTGTATTTTGTATTGAGTGAATGGATGGAGGTGTAATCCCGAAATTTGATATTGTTGTCTCTGTTGATATCTGGTTGTGGGGTTTCCCAAATGCGTACTATGATTGCTAGAAAGTTGCTAAATGGTACTAAATTTGACTCACTGGTGTCTAGGATGGTCTAGGATCCTGAAATTTGATTTTAAAGAGACTGTTGGTTTCCAGGGTTAACATAAGGAGGCGTTGGAATAGTTTTGGATAGATAAATTAGATGTAAACAGGAAAATGAAAGGTTTTGATGACTTTTTGGTATAAAAGGTAAACATCTTGTGCATTTGGAGTAGTGAAAAGGACTCACACGAACTGTTAGGTCGAATCTAAAATTTTAAGATGGACTTTTCGTTGACGAAGTTGCGGGCATGTACGCCATGACTATGACCACTTAAACATCTCGTCTGTAATTGATTTATAGCTATACCAGGTCAACTTTATGTTATAGACCACCCGTCGTCTAACGACTGCGTCCATCGTCTCCCGTTCAAAAATCGAATTTTGGCCAACCCGTACACCCACCTACTACCCATTGGAGATAGAGTGGGCAAACATTCATAATCACAAAATTCAAATTTAAAATCACAAAACTTAAGAATAACATCCTTAAAAAAATATTTAAGGCATCACTTACTTGTCACGTTTGGTTTTATCATCGGCATGGTCATCCTTCATAAAGGATGGCTGTAAACTGAAACGTCTACGTAAATGGCGGCCTCTCATTTTGTAATATGTTTGTGTATCAATGTATGGCGTACTTAAAGATGCTGCTAGAATTCTCTCCCGGTTTTCTTGGACAAAATGTTACTCTTCAATCTTGAGTTTTAAGAATAATACGGTTGATGATAATGATGGTGACAATCCACACGGGTAGAGGGGGAATTCCTTCCGTCTTTTGTCTTGCAATAAATTAATGTCGTGTAAAATCTTTTCTTGACGTGTTGGATTATTCGTTCTCAGCGTCGGTTTTTTTCTTCTTCTTTTTCTTAAATTTATTTAGAACATTTTTCTTGTCATTCGCATTGGAGGCAAGGGATGGTTACTTGGTTTTTTTGTGTTGGCAGCACCCTCTCCTGTTGCTGTTGGAAGTTGAGTTGAGCTGAGTGAAGCCAAGGTTGTTGGTTGGACTTAATGCACCAGAAGCAGTAGCAGCAGCACCACCACCACCACTACAGCCACAAATGACGTATTATCCTCTGGCGTTTATCTTTCACTTACTTAAATGAAGACATTGACAAAGTTTCCTTTTCTAAGCAATTTAGTGTTTTCGTGGCGGCTCACGGGTTTCTTTGCCGTATTTAATGTCCTGAATTTTGAGCTCTGAAAAAGTGGAAGAAAAAAATAAGGAAAATCATTTATCAAATGTTTGTTTTTGTGTTAGTTTGACAATTTTATAAAAGTTTTTTTTTCTCTCTAACAAAACGTCATTTGTTTTTTTTTAAGAAATTCCTTTTAATAAATTTTAAAATGTAATTTATCTTGAGAAGTAATTTGAAAGTGTTTTTAGGAAGCATTTAAGACTTTGTAGATATTTTTTAATTCAAAAATATTTATTTTAGCTTAATTGATTTTCAGATGATTGTGTCTATGGTCCAAACCCATGAAATAAATATGCAGATGAAATGTAACAAGTAAAAAAGCTGTAAGTTCGGCCGGGCCGAACTCTGAACACCCTCCACCATTCGGTACAAATTTGGCAATTTTCAAAAAAATAAAATCCATTAAATATTCTGTTAAAATCTTAAAAATACCGATTGCAGCCGTATATTAGGGTATATACGATGACGTGGACCTGCATACGTAACTTTTGTCATAAGCTATTATAATATTAAAATGCTTAACTTGAAAAAAATATCTGTTTATAATGTAGCTAAAATAAGTAAAATGCCGAATATAGGGAGGTACATTACGTAGACCTGCACAGACAATTTTCTGCCATGGGCTGTAGTATCCAATACAAACTTCAAATACCAAATTTGAAACAATTCCGGTAAATAATGTCGCTAAAATCATCAAAATACCGAATATCGGAGGGTACCCTTATATGAGGGCTATACGAAGACGTGGACCTATATGGCTGATTTCCTGTCTTATGCTGTAGTATCTATAACGAACTTCAAATACTACATTTGAAACAATTCCGGTAAATAATGTCGCTGAAATCATCAAAATACCGAATATCATGTGGTACCGTTATATGGCTGCTATACGAAGACGTAGACCTACACAGACCATTTTCTGTCTTAAGCCGTAGTATCTATTACGAACTTTAAATACCAAATTTGAAAGAATTCCGGTAAATAATGTCGCTAAAATCATCCAAATACCGAGGGGGGGGGGGGGGGGGTCTATACGAAGACGTAGCTCATTTTCAATACCAAAAGTCCTACAGACATAAATGGGTAAATGGGTAAATTTTTATCAACATACTTCATTTCGTTTGAAAGCTAGAGTGATTTCCACAGACGGACAGACGGATAGACGGACTGACGGACGGACATTGCACAATCGACGTAGAATTTTATGCTGATCAAGAATATATACTTTGTGGGGTCTAAAATGTATATTTCGAAGTGTTACAAACGGAATGGCAAACTTAATATACCCTCCATACTAAAGTGGAGGGTATAAAAAGGGTAATGGAATAACTCTCATAAAGTGGGGGATAGGTACAAATTTTACATTTTGATATTTAGGAAAAACAAGTTAAAAAGTATAATTCGGTTTTGCCGACAGATGTATACTCTTAGCCAATGTTCGATTATTTAAATATATTTTCACTTCTGTAATGATTATTCAAATTTGTGACCCTCTGTGGAGTGGGAATGCACCAATATTACCCATTTCGTATCTAACCAGAATATATATGACATAAACATTTCGACGTGCCAGATTTGGACTATATTTGTCATTGCCTTCACTTTATATGAGATATGTGATAATGTGCGTGTGATACTAAATATAGTCAACCGAAATATTTCCATTTTCATACTTCATCTAATATAGATGAAAATATTAATATGGACAAAATGAAAAGAAAATCGAACATTTATGTCCAATTTTAAGCGAAATCATAAATTCCATATTCATATCAGGTTTCTGGTTAAGAGAAATACAGGGTGAAATAAAAAAAAACTACAACAAAGTCAAACGCCATAATTTTAACATTTTTTTTAAATTTTATTGAATGAAAGCAAAAAATGTCGGAAAGAGCATTAAATTTTAGAAAAAGTTTCGATTTGTTCGAATTGGTTACCTTTGGCACGAGTTATGGCCTTCAAACGGCCAATGACACAGTCACATGCTGCCCGAATGTTGCTCTGCGGTATTTGGGCCCATTCCCGGCAAAGCGCTTTCTTGAGGTGATCGACTCTTTGGTATTTTTTAGTACCAAACTTGCTTTCCAAAATACTCCAGACACAATTGTCCAACGGATTGGTATCCGGAGATTTTGGTGGCCATTTTGCGCTGGAAATGAAGCCAGGAACCAAATGTTGTAACCATTCTTGGGCACGAATTATGGCCTTTAAACGGCCAATGAAACCGACACACGTTGTCCGAATGTTGCTCTGCGGTATTTTGGCCCATTCCCGGCGAAGCGCTTTCTTGAGGTGATCGACATTTGGTATTTTTTAGTGCGAACCTTGCTTTCTAAAATACTCCAGACTCAATGGTCCAACGGATTGGTATCTGGAGATTTTGGTGGCCATTCTGCGTTGGAAATGAAGCGAGGAACCTCATTTTGTAATCATTCTTGGGTGGCGCGTGCTGAATTCAATGGTGCTGAGTCCTATTGGAATTTCCAAGGTCTGCGGCCAAAATGTTTGCGTGCCTAAGGCTTTAATACACCCTCCAGAATATTTGCGCGATAATATTCGGAATTTATTCTGATGCCACCCACGGTCGATTAATACGAGCGGAGAGCGACAATTGGCAGTTATGGCGGCCCACACCATCACCGTGTATCCCGGTAATATCCCAGTATCACGGTAATGAGCGATGGTACGAAACACAAAAGATTTATTCACATTTATATGCTGGAGTGCTCTAACGATAGCCACTTGTGGATTCCCAGCCAAATATAAAGAAATCACAATATCACGCTTAAATTCCATCACGAATAACTTTTTTCTGGAAAATTTCTCACCAAAATGCTTCTGTACGCTTGTAAACAATATGATGAGCTGTCACTGGAATAATTTTATCAGCTGTCGGACGATTGGCTTAGAAATGACAGCAGTCTGAATTTGGTTGCAGTTTTTTTATCTCACCCTGCATATCTTCAAATTATGGAATCTTTCGATTTTTAGTATTCATAGGATTGAAAGTCAAGTTCTGGTTCTAAATAACAATTGCCTTTCCTATGGTATTACGAGTTCTTATTACAGTTCACAATTGATGAATCTTATATCTTGATTGTGGATCCAGAATTTGAAATTGGAAAAGTCGGACTTGTCTAACATCATTTTTGGGAATTCGACATACACGCTCTAGAACGTTGTTTGTTCTACAACAAAACCTTAGTTACCGATTTTTTTTTTTTTTTTTTGAATCGTAGGCCATATTTTGCCCTTTGTCGGTGTGCCTTAATTATATTGAAGCCATCCCCCTAACATTTTCTTGTGATGGTTTTCTACAGTTCTACTTAATTGTTATTTTTCTGTTAACAGCCCATATTTTATTTTTAATTTCTTGCAAAGCCTCCTTCGAGTGTTTTTTGTAACAGCAAGAAAATAGTCAGCATTTCATTTTAATTGTTATTGAAGCAGTGATGCCAGTTTAGCAATCGTTTATCGGGGCCCTCTCATGGCCCCATTTTATTATCCGGGATAATGAAATGTTATTCTAATTGTTGTTGTTGCTGCTACTGCTGATTATCATTTGTTTGGGAACATTTATAATAAATGGTGTTGTTGTTATTTTCCAAAGTACACAACATCTCATTAAATGAGTTCTATAAATAATGACGTTGTCTTTATGGCATAAAAACATACCCATGTTTTTTAATGTTAATTTGCAAAACAATTAATTTTGTTTGAATGTTTGCTTTGTTTTCATTTGCTATTCTTCTTTAAATGCTGGTTTACAACAAATGAAGAGGGTCGATATTTTTTTCCAACAAAGTATTGGGCACAGAGAAGCCTTCAATGTGAGACAAATACTAAATATAAAAAATCAACAATTAATTATCGAAAATGAAACACTACAGAACTTATTAATTAGGATTGTGTGTTTAGGAAAATTAATTTATGTTTTTTTAATATTCTATTTTCAATATAATATTCGAACATTAGATGATGTAAATTACAATTCGAAATTATGTTTAAATGGGTGCAATCAATAAATAATATAAACAAATGTTTTTCATTTACAATATTTAGCAATATTTATTTTTTTGTGGAAAACCGAATTTGTTGAGTAATTTTTGTGGTCAGTATGTTTAACATTAAATATTAAAAAAAAATTGATTTAATCATACATTTCAAACACATACTTGTGTTGTTATTTCAAAAACAGGAATAAACAATTTGGGGCACCCTGGGCGTATGAATAACAATTGTTTTCACCATAATGATCATACGCCACCTGTACATATTTCTTGGTTTACAAAACAAAATTAGGCACAGTCGATTTTTATACCCTCCACCATACATAGTATGGAGGATACATTAAGATCCGTCATATCCAACAAAGTATATATATTCATGATCGGCATAAAACTTTAAGACGACTTAGCTAGAGTCAAAACGTATTAAGATAGGAAGCTAATATTTTGCACAGACCCGTCTTTTGTCTGTCGGTCCACGATATCATATAGCCCCCACATAACGGTACTTTCCAATATTTTTTTAATTGTAGCTAAATTTTTATCTAAATCCATTATCCACACAAGGAGTTCCTTTTGAGTACTTTACTCCCTGGAAGAGAATTGTTTATATAAGTCGTCGTCTTCGTATAGCCCCCATATAATAGTTTTCATTTATGCTGTATTTTTTAAGGATATTTTTGAAAATATCTAAAATCCTACATAATGGTGGAGGGTAATAAAAATTCGGACTTGTCAAACTTAGCTGTTTTTTTACTTGTTTTTACAACGTACTGGGATTTAAAACTCTTGTTTGTCATGGATCTCCAAAATATTAATGGGATTCTATAGAAAAAAATATTAAAACAAAGTTTGGCGAAATGTAAATCGAAACTAAACCGAGATTCTGACGTGGCTAGCAATTGGAACAATAAACCCAAAAAGGGTATGGGTTCCAGACCAAACTTTGTTCAGTTCACTCAATATATAGCCATAGATCAGGGAGC